GGGCGGGCGGGCGGGCGGCGGGCGCGCGGGGGGCGGCGGCGCCCGAGCGGACACGAGCCGGCCAGCAAGCAGCCGCGGCGGCGCCGCAGGACGAGCGCCCAGGTAGGCGGCCGGGGCGGGGGGCCGGGCCCTGCCGCACCCCACCCGCGAGGCCCGCGGGGCCCTCTCCCCGCGCGCCCCTCCTTTGTCCGAGCCCCACCCCCCCGGCCGCGGGGCTCGGCCCCCCTGCTCCCGGCGCCCCCCCCACCCCCGCCCCCGCGCCCGGACCCCCTCCGCAGTCCGTGGAGCCCCGGCCGCGCAGCCCTCGGCGCGCCCACCTTGGACAGCTCCCCCTGGGCGCCCTCCGGCCCCCGCGGTACTTGCCGCGCGCCCCTCCGCCAAGCCAGCCCCTCCCCCCAGGCCCGCCGCAGCCCCCTCGCTGGGTGGGTCGGTGCTGCTCAGGCAGAGCCCCCTCCGTGAGGGGCCCCTCCATGAGGGTCCCTGGGCTCGTCTTCCCGCTCAGCACCCGCTCAGCCTCCTGCCCCTCAGGGCGAGCCAAGCCCCTCACCCAGGAGCCCCTCCCTTGGTCGGGCCCTTCCCCCACCACCGACATCCTCCGCTGGCCAAGGGGAGCCCGTGGGCTGGTCCCCTGAGCGTGCCTCCCCTCCCTCAGGCCCCCTGTCATCCAACCCCTCATTAGTCAGGTAGTCCCTAGGTCAGACCCCTCCCCCATTCAGTTAAGCGGTGTTTGAGTGTGTGTGTGTGTGTGTGCGCGCGCGCTCGTCCGGTGCCCTCCCCTGGGTCCGAGGCCTGTTCTCCTGGCCCCCCGGGGGTGTCAGGGAGGGCTACCTTGCATGGGAGGAGGACCCTGGGCTGTGTAGCCAACCAGGGCCCAATTCAAATCCTACTCTGCTCTGCCACCTTCCTGCTCTGTGACCTTGAGCCAGGGCCTCCCCGCTCTGAGCCTCGGTGCCCGCGACCCCCTACCCCCACCCCACAGGAGGTGAGGGTGGGATTCAAACAGCACCAGGTAGGTGCCTGGCATGGACTTGGGGGTTAGTGAACGGGGGTTCCTACTCCAGGGACCCAGGCCCCAGCAGGGCCGCTCCTGGAGGACGTCCTGCTGCTGATGGACCTGGAGTCTTGCCAGGGGGTCTGCATCCAGAGCAGGGCAAGGGTGGTCTGGGTCCCCAACCAGCCATGGTGGTGCCTGGCTGCACACTCACGTGCCCCCCTCTCAGGGTGCCCACCCAGGGAAGGGCAGTGCCTGTGGAGCTGGGCACCCCTCGCCACCCCCCCACCCCCAGCTGCCTCCCGATGCTGAGGACTGCCATGCATGTCGCCAACATGCCTAGTGGTCTCCGAGGAGTTAGTACTGGTAAGCGTGCACAAGTGTGCCTGGCACGGAAGTGGGCTGTGTGTCTGCTGTTACTTTGATCGTCCTGTCTCTGGCACACCTGGTACTTTGGATCCTTCAGAATCCGCCTTCACAGCCCACTGCCAGCCAAGTGCTTTACACCCTGAGCCCTCGTGACTGATAGTTATGATTGTCCATCTTTACCGAGGGCCCCCGGGCGCCAGGCTCCAGGCTTTATCCAGCTTCTCCAGTGCTTGTCCCAGCAACTTGTGCAGCAAGGCACTGTGACAAAACCAAGGCTCGGGGACCCCGACCGACCTGCCCCGGGTCTCCCTGCCAGCTTCACACCACCGAGCCTTATACCCCACACACACCCGAGGGAGGTAAATTGGTCCAGGCACAACCTTGTGTCTCCTCCCTCCCACTGTGGACCTACCTCCATAGAGACCGCCGGGAGGAAGAAGGGCAACGGTGTCCTGCTTCCCCTAAGTCAGGACGCAGATGCTGGAGACAGGCCTTCTGCCGTCCCACCCCCAGCCCAGGGCTCCCCCCCTCGGCCGGCAGCATTTTGGGAATTGCTGCGCTGTGTGACCTCAGGAGGCCACTAGACCTCTCTGAGTTGAGTACAGGTGCTGAGAGAGAGGCTAGGAGGACGCCCTTTAGGGAGATCTGTTCCTCCAGATACAGCAGACCTCGAACCAGAGGCCATGGCCGGCCAGACTCGTCTGGGGGCAGAGTGCAGGAAGTGGGGACCTTTCTCACTGGGCCTAGTTTTCGTGTTCTCACCTCTGACCTGGGATGCTCTCAGGAATCAGTGCCATGATTTGCAAATTGTGGCTCTTGG